ATATATATATATATATATATATATATATATATTTAAATATTTTTTAATGAATTTCTTACGCTTCGGATAAATAGAATCTAAGAATCTTTCAAACATATTTGCAGAAATTAACTCGTTCAAAAAGCCAAACCGGAAATGCCGGTAACCATGGTAACCAGGTAACAAGAACAAGAAGCTGCTGGTTTCCGTGTCATTTCGCATTTTTAAAAGAAGGCTCGAATGTCCCAGAAAGCGCTGAAAGTCTGGGCTGAAGTCAAACTCGGAGCGGTAAGAAGCGGCCGGGTCTCTGTGCTTCTGGCTCGGTTCGGGAGTTCGGACGGTACCTTCCTCGGTTCGGTTCTCCTTCCACCCGCTGGAAATATGTCTGATTTTATATTCACCTTCAAATTATTCCGCTCATTTTGTTATAAAAGAAAGATGTTGTCTTTATTGGGTTCAGAAATCATTCAGAACTTTTAAGACATCAAAGTTAATTAATCAACAATGAAGCTGAAAAGGTGTGAAAGAAAAATCAGTTCGGCCTTTTTTTTATTTTTTATTTTTACTCCAGATTAATGGTTTAACTTGATTAAAACATATTTAAAGTCTAAAATAGGAGATAAATGTAGCTGTTCCTGGTGTTACTCTGCTTTCATTAAGATGTTTGTAGCTGATGGTTGCAGTGAGCTAAGCTCTCCTGTAGGGGTCAGTGTCACACAGGCTCTGGAGAAGCCTCTGATGGTATGGAGTCACTTTTGATCCATTATTGTTGCAAGCGAAAAGCATGTTTTGGTAATGGGAAGTTGATGAAAATGGTGGCTAGAATATAAGTTTTGAAGCATTTTATAAAAATAAATAAAAAAAATTTCTACTTTGTCAATCTTTAGTACAGTGGAATCAGCTTACAGTGATCATGTTGGTCCAGAGCCAATTTGAACACTATAAGCGGTTGATTACTATAGCAGAATATACCGTTATTTCACTTATTTTATATGCAGAATATCATCTAAATACCCTTTTTTTGGTTTTTCAATAATAAAAATGAAAT